TCTCTCTCTCTCTCTCTCTCCCTCTCTTTATTGGTATCTCTCTCTCTCTCTGTGTCTCTCTCCCTCTCTTTATCAGTATCTCTCTCTCTCTCTCTCTGTCTCTCTCTCCCTCTCTTTATCGGTATCTCTCTCTCTCTCTCTGTCTCTCTCTCCCTCTCTTTATCGGTATCTCTCTCTCTCTGTCTCTCTCTCCCTCTCTTTATCGGTATCTCTCTCTCTCTGTCTCTCTCTCCCTCTCTTTATCGGTATCTCTCTCTCTCTCTCTATATCAATAGAATCAATAGATTACGTAAAGTTCTTCAGCAGGTACGTGGAGTATTTAAACTTCATTATCTACACAGGCATAATTTTATTTATATAGCACATTTCAAACACAATGGTAATACAAAGTGCTTTACATGAAAAAAAAAATATTAAAAGAAGATTAATAAGTGATGAATGAAATAAAAAAAATTGTTTAATTTAAATTCTAAAGCCAGTCACTTTCGTTCTGCTAATTAAGTGCATTTATTTTGTTTTATATATGTATGTAGAACATTTTAAATTATATATTAATTTGTTTTTGAAATATAAACATTTAAACTGTGGCTGTAATAAAAGCTTTCATGACAGATCTATTCTACATTAATGACATTAATGTTATATAATGCATATATTTATCAAAATGCTCCTCTCTTAAATAATTTTTCTAACGTTTAACATTTGAACTTTGATTTGTTTTATGTAGCATTTTAATTTGAATGAAACACCGCAGCTGTACAGCAGATGCATTCTGTCAATCACGTGAGATCTCGTCTGATTGGTCGAGAGAGATCGGAGAGATGCAAACTCTGTGTGAACTCTTAACCTTTGACCCCTGAGGAATCATCTAGAAGTCTTGAGTGGAAAGTCGCTCAGCTGCGTCTTCTCACTCCATGTGCATGAAACCTGTGACCTCTGACCCTCAGTGCTCTCTTTATACACTCGTACTTATAGTTAACTAAAACTAAAAGTGTGTGTGTGTGTATGTGTATGTGTATGTGTGTATATATATATATACACAAACACATACACACACACACACACACACACACATACTTATGGATACATAACAAACCATACATCAATGGAAAGCTTATTAATTCAGCTTTCAGATAATTTATAAATCTCAATTTCACAAAAATGTACCCTTATGACTGGTTTTGTGCTCCAGGGTCACATAATATAATTTTTTTTTTTTAAATTATTTATTTATTTGTGCTAGTTGCAAGGCAACATTTTTCATTTTGATTTAGTTTTACTGATGTACTAAAATAGCTAAAAAATTACATTTAACAAAAACTAAACAGGCATATTTAAAATAATAATAATAATAAAAATGATAAAATTACACAACAAAATAGCTAAAACAGAAAATAAAATGAATCCAAAATATTAACAAAAACTAATATCAGTGGTACTAATATATTGAGTATATACTGTACACTTTATTCAAGTTCAGCATGTGCTTGTTTTCTCTCTCTGTGTGTTACTTTCTTATCATGTCCTTCTGAATCTCATTTGACGTGTGTGTCTCAGGTCAGCGGGTCACACACACAAGCGCGTGACGGAGAATCTGGGCGTGACGTATTACGTGAACGAGCGTTTCTCTCAGGACTTCAGCAGCGCGAGTCTGAAACGTGTGGAGAGCAGCGTGGAGGACGACTACATCTCCAACCTCAGGAACAACTGCTGGAAAGAGAAACAACAGAGTACGTGACACACACACATGCACACTCTCACACACTCTCACACACTCACACACACACACACACACAACCTGTTGCTCCCTCTATAGGACCAGCGACTAGTCGACGTCAAGCTTAAACCGTCATGGCAGAGCATTGAAGTCGACTAGACAGTGCAACCCCTAACACGCACACACACACACACACACACACACACTGTCAAGGTCCAAAAAAAAGCACCATAAAAGTGTCCTAACAGACTCATTCACTGTTTACTAGTAATATTATTAGTAATATATATATTACTAATATAGTAATATAAGTAATATTATTTGGTCATGTGAAGATCAAAGCAACACAAACTGAAATCATTATGAGTTCAAGTTCACTTCAGGTCTCAAATATCCACCATGTTCATGCAAGCTTTTTCACATACCTCATGACAGCACTTTTCACCCTAATAAAAATATATTTTTTGTGGGTAGGTAAGATTTTTAAAAAATGTTTTTAAAGAGTCTCTTCAGCTCACCGAGGCTGCATTTATTTGATCAAAAATACAGTTAAAATCTGAAATATTATTAAAATTTAAAACAGCTGTGTTCTATGTGAATGTCTGTTAAAATGTAATTTATTTCTGTGATCAAAGCTGTATTTTCAGCATCATTACTCCAGTCTTCAGTGTCACATGATCTTCAGAAATCATTCTAATATGCTGATTTGCTGCTCAAGAAGCATTTCTGATTATTATCAATGTTGAAAACAGTTTATCAATGTTGAAAAAATATATATATATTACTGACCCTAAACATTTTGAAAAATGAACAAACATTCTCTAAATCATAAGGGAATCATACAGGTTTGGAGTGTGAGGGTGAATAAATGATGACAGAACTGTTGTTTTTGGGTGGACTGTCCCTTTAAGAGCTTGTAGTAATTGTGTAATCATAACTGAGCGAGTTCTGCCGGATTATATTCCAGACTAAATAGCAGTTTAAAGCAGAATCTCTCTTCATGACTCACACGTCTGAACTCTTCTGTTTTTGTGAACTGAAGCAGCTTGGTTTGCTGAGAGCCAGTCAGAACTGGCTGCACATTCTGACTTGCTTTAACATCATTCGTCTCGCGTCCGATGAATCCGCTTGAGTTCTTGAGATATTCGAGGGAAGTTCACAACCGTTTCACTGATGATTCACTCATGTTTATTCCCAGCCTGAACAAACAGTGTTTCATCATCTGAGTGGACTTTTGACGTATCCTTTTAAATTCTGTCATGATTTGCTAATTTATGCACATATGTGACTCTGCAGCACAAAAGCAGTCATAAGTCGCTGGGGTATATTTGTAGCACAGTGATTTGTGAATTCCTTATGGAGGGAATGAATGGGAAAAATTCTTCCCAAATCACTGCTGGAAAAGTCGGTCAGTGTTTGTGCTGCGAAATTACACACTTCAGCTTTGAGCAGAAGTATCGTTTTTGAACATCTGCTGGTGTTTTTTGCATTGTGGAATGTTGTATTTTCATCACAAATAATTAAACAAGTTATTCATATTTCTTCAAATAAATATTATTAATATATCAATATTTATTTTCTGCACAGGTTCCAAAAACAATCTCTCCAGTCTGGAATATGGAAGAACGCCATACGGATTATAAATACATTTGTTCGAAAAACAGGGCTGAGCATTGCAGCAACTACTGAACTTGACTAGAAAGACTTACTGAGGGCTGAAGCCGTGTGTGTGTGTGTGTGTGTGTCTGTGTGTGTCTGTGTTTCTGTGTGTGTGTGTGAGTGTACATGCATGCATGCTAAGGACCATGTACGTGAGCAAATGTTTGTGTGTGTGTGTGTGTCTGTGTGAGTGTCTGTGAGTGTGTGTGTGTGTGTGTGTGTGTGTGTGTGTGTTCATGACTCACACGTCTGAACTCTTCTGTTTTTGTGAACTGAAGCAGCTTGGTTTGCTGAGAGCCAGTCAGAACTGGCTGCACATTCTGACTTGCTTTAACATCATTCGTCTCGCGTCCGATGAATCCGCTTGAGTTCTTGAGATATTCGAGGGAAGTTCACAACCGTTTCACTGATGATTCACTCATGTTTATTCCCAGCCTGAACAAACAGTGTTTCATCATCTGAGTGGACTTTTGACGTATCCTTTTAAATTCTGTCATGATTTGCTAATTTATGCACATATGTGACTCTGCAGCACAAAAGCAGTCATAAGTCGCTGGGGTATATTTGTAGCAATAGCCAACAATACATTGTATAGGTCAAAATTATACATTTTTCTTTTATGCCTAAAATCAATCAATCAATCAATATTTTGTAAATTTCCTACCGTAAATATATTAAAACTTATTAGTAATATGCATTGCTAAGAACTTCATTTGAACAACTTTAAAGATGATTTTTCTCAATATTTAGATTTTTTTGCACCCTCAGATTCCAGATTTTCAAATATTGTCCTATCCTAACAAACCATACATCAATGGAAAGCTTATTTATTCAGCTTTCAGATGATGCATAAATCTGATGATGTATAATGATGATGTATAAAATTGTGTGTGTGTGTGTGTGTGTGTTTTTGTGCGTGCGTGTGTGTGTGTGTGTGTGAGAGTGTGTATATGTGTGTGTTTGTGAGAGAATGTGTATGTGTGTGTGTGTGTGTGCGTCTGTGTGTGTGTGTGTGTGTGTGTTTCAGAGGAGGGTCTGCTGTACCGTGCGCGGTATTTCGGGGACAGTGAGTG